TCCCCAGGAATACACGCTGCCCCCCAGGAATACACGCTGCTCCCCAGGAATACACGCTGCCCCCCAGGAATACACGCTGCTCCCCAGGAATACACGCTGCTCCCCAGGAATATACACTGCCCCCCAGGAATACACGCTGCTCCCCAGGAATACACGCTGCCCCCCAGGAATACACACTGCTCCCCAGAATACACGCTGCCCCCCAGGAATACACGCTGCCCCCCAGAATATACACTGCTCCCCAGAATACACACTGCTCCCCAGAATACACGCTGCCCCCCAGGAATACACGCTGCCCCCCAGGAATACACACTGCTCCCCAGAATACACGCTGCCCCCCAGGAATACACACTGCTCCCCAGAATACACGCTGCTCCCCAGAATACACGCTGCCCCCAATTTCTGGTCTCAATGCTTCTTTTGCAAAATTTGGAAGCAGTTTTTTCTGGACTTGACGTGCTTCACACGTCCTTCCCGGAATAGAATTTACCTAGTAAATTATAATTATAATCTAAACATTTCATTAAAAAAAGTTCTATCATTTCAGTAGGGGCCATTAATTCATTTTGGCTTAAATTTAAACCCTAAAAGAATTATGATGTTTTTTTTATTATTATTATTATTCTACAATTAAGTTGAATTTATAGTGGAGTTTAGTATGGATTGCATGGACTGTATGAAATGTTTGGAATGTTTAATGTGAATATTCATTATTGCCTAAGCGGGAATGAAGTCTGTTTATAAAGGTGCGGTGACATGAGCCAGGGGCAGCGGGCTGGGGGCAGCGGGCAGGGGGGCAGCAAAAACAGTCAGAAACAGTAACATTCTTTCTGGAGGACCATTCTGCACACAGTGCAATAGACAGAGCAATATAGTTCTATTTGTAGCAATTCGATTCAAAATTTTTAATGACCTATTAAATTGTTACTTGTGTACTTCATTTGATAAACTGACTTTGAATCATACCAACGTGTCTGGAGTATATATTCTTAAGTAAAAGAGACACGCTTCCCACATGAGAAGGAGGTTGATATATCAGCACTGTTTGCCTCAGAGGCTTCTCTTTGCAGCACCGACGGAACAGCTTACAATACTCATCATTGTTTAGCTCCTTGTTAACTTGGTTCAAGACAAAATATAATGATTAAACTGATTAAAAACACTGATATTAAAACCAAGCAATCACACTAGAAATGAAAGGCATTTACAGACGTTCAGAAATTAGCCCCTGGGATGAATTAAGTTTATCTTGTCTATCTAATGTGATAAGGTGTAAATAGCAAATCCTATTAAATTTCCACCCATCCTCCCATCACAGGTTATCCAGTGTAGGGAGTCCAGTCCGTCTTGTATTCAGGTTCATGCTCTCTTTTGGCCCCAGCCTCATCTCAGTAAAGCTGACCAGACGCTGACCCTGGGTCTCAGCTCCCCAGTACAGCTCCTATTGTCCGTGGGTTTTGTTGACCCCATTCCCAAACGGGATGTTCCATCTCCCCACTTTCCCCACAGGCAGACATCAGATATTATAAAGCCTCTTAATCTCCCATCACGTCCAGATCAGCAGAGAGGGGGATCAGAAGCGACCCCGCCACAGTCGGCCCAGCTAGCATGGACATACCATGTGACTGAAGCCTGATGTCCCACCCAACAGCTTCCCTCCTTCCCATCAGATGACTGGACAGATAATACCCAGAATGCTTCCTGCAATAACCAGATGGTTAAGCCCAAGAGTCCATCGTGCAGAGATCCTGCAGCCCCAGGAGAACCAGGTCAGCCGCAGCAAATCACCCCAGGCGGTCAGGTGGCCCGGCACTGGTCAAGGAGCTACACCGATACATGCGGACCTGTTACACCAAAAGAGAGAGCCGCAGGTTGTCATGACAACTGTCGGCAACTGTACACGTGTGGCCCTGTCCCTGTGGGGGAAAAAAAGAAGATGTTTTCCATGGCTGGGGGCATGCAGGCGATGCCCTTTGAGTCTCCCACTCAGCGGACGAGGATAGAGAGGAACACGGCCCCCACTGTGGAGGCCCAGACTGCCCCACATTGCACCAGGAGGTGCCACGGCCTCCCTCCCACTCAGCAGAGCGCGCCAGGCGGGCGTCTGCATGAGCTCAGCGCCCGGATGAGGGCTTATGCTTTAAGATGCTGTTCCTGTGGCTGCACGTGTGTGTATGGGAAGGCCTCACTGTTCACACTGACGTAATACCCACAGCACACATTTATAAATTATCCACGCTGCCCATCACTGCTTTTAACCAGACTTTTATTAGCTGCTTTCTGCTGCCAGTGCAGTGCTGCCATTTCACCTGGACAGAGCGAGAGGACGCCGGTCCCATTTTCCTCTGCGCTTATTCCCGTTTCTTAGACAAACATCTGGCACGCAGGCTGGGAGCGTTCGAGCGGCAGGTTAACCGGCTTTATCGCCACAGCCGCGTGGGGGGCAGGGTCTGGCCGCAATCTGCTGACCGCTCACTTCGCACAAATCATCGGCCCCCCAGTACGGAGCCGATGGATGACGCGGTCGATCGCCGCGACTATTTTTAGAGCGGCAATCCTCTCCTCCAGGGTCCCCAGTGAACACAGTGCGGGTGATTTACGAGGTCGGCGTTGATAAAAATAGCACGTGGAAGGAACTGGAAAACAAGCGTGGAGGCAGGGAGCCGAATATAACAGGGGAGGCAGAAGACAATTGTGGCAAATAAGGGCCAAAGTGAGTCCCCCCCCCTCCGGGTTATAAGAAGCGGACGTCACTTTAAATGTTTAGAGGCTGATACCCTGGCTCATTTCGCCAAGGCAAGACAAGCAGGACTGTACAGCAGACACCACGTCACTCATTACCACTCGAGACAAACAACCAGAGATAAACACCCCCCCCCCCCCCTTCAAAGCAGAGACTCAGTTTGGCTTTGCAATGAAAGCTGAGCTGTGATCTATTCTTTATGAATGAAGGACATATTTAGACTATAAGAAACAGGACCCCGTGTCACCATTGGAAGATGACGTGTTATATTCGGTGTGCAGGGGGCCCACCGTGGGTGGGGGGCTTGGGAGATTCTCCAATGAGTAAGACAATACAAGAGAAATGTAAAAAAAAAAAAAAAAGAGATTGTAAAAGAAAAAAAAAATGTCTTCCATAAGAACATCAGCAAATTTCACCTGAAAACTAGCAAAAATTGCTACTGTTATTCACCAGGACAGGACCTACAGCCACATGATGCAGGCCTGAAATCATAAGGGTCACAATCCACCTGCAGTGAAGTAGGGCTTCATTCAGCTCCCTGAACACTAACCACTACACTTCCCAACCAGCAGCTAGTAGTTAGGAAAAACTCGTTTAAAAAGTGACGCCAGCTGAAAGAGGGTAACCCGGCTGCATTTTACAGAGCTGTCTCGGGTATTAATACCATGGCTTCTTTAACTCATCCATCCATCTGGCAGACAGCTTCTCCAGGACTGTGACACGCAGAGCCCAGAGCCCAGGGCCCATCCCAGGAAGCACAGCATGGCATGGCTGGCCTGACAGGCCACCATAGGTATACGCATACTTTCGGCAATTTTGGAGACACCAGTTTAACTGTGGAAGGAAACACGCAAGGCCCAAACACACTGGCCAGGTGACGGGAATCGAACCCCCAGCCCTGCAGGACAGGAGACTGTGGTACTACAATCTGGATTAAATACTAAAAGTAAAAACCTCAACGACATGTAAACATGAAGGGAAAATCACCAGGAAAAATAAGCCCCCGCGCAGTTGCTCAAACCTCCATCCTACAGAGTATCAGAGCAGAACTACAGATACCCAGACTCCCCACACGAATGTCTTCAGCTTGTCCCCAAAGACCTCAGTCCAAAACGGCAGGAACTGACAATTAAGGGACACATTTAAATGTGTCCCTTCACGGCGTGTGCATTCACGGCGTATTAAATTACGCTGCAAAGTTAACCCAAGAGCATTATTTGGCTTTACAGTAAATAATTTCTATTATTTTGTTTTAGAAACCTCAGTTAATATATGATCCCTGACATCTCTGCTAATCTGTGCTGTAGATGTATCAAAGAAATACTTCGCTATTTCGGCACTTTCCTCGCTACACAACCACAGAAGCCAAGTCATGCGGATTAGTATTTTGACACTTCCAGTAATGTCACTTTCGCTTGCCTTTCATAATACTGAGAATAAGTGCAGCGGACCCACAACTGACAGCGGAAGGAGCGCTACGTGTTTAAACAAGTCGTTCGTTGTACAGTTCATAATAAACACGCGTTTTTCCATATAAAATTGACAGCTGTTAGGCCACCGCTGTCACCATCTGTATTTTAATTCACGGAAAGTGTTGTTATTTTGCCGGCAAGGTGGGAGCGGGGAGAGCAAACAGTATACACCACACATTATAATAAATAGGTCGAAGTTGCCTCTTCGGGAATCGTTGTAAACACAGAAAAACGGAAATCATGTTGTGGGATCTATAAACACAGCTGCACTGGGAGAAAATGTAATGCAGCTGTTGGAGCCCCCCACCGACGCCCTTCTCCTTCAGCTCCGCCGGCCGTCGCTCATCCCCTCCGAATCGCTCGGCGTGCGAAGGCCCGGCACCGCCGAGAACCGGATCTCTGCGAGCGGATAAAACCGTTTTCCAACAGGGACACCAAACGTTTGCTTACCGGCCCTCTTCGCTTCAGGGACACATTCTTCCACAGCAGGAGATGGAGCTGGTGGAGGAATCCCATTTTTGTTTTTGTTTTCGTCCGCTTACGTCCGTTTTTATTCCTGCCCCCAATTCCGCTCAGATGAGGATTTTACTCATTACGGTGATTGCAAGGTCCGGTGTTAATGCAGCACGAATCCATGGTGCCACGGCGCAATGTCCCTAAATGTACGTCTAGAGCCGGCACACACACAGCGACCATCGGAAAAACAGAAAGCGGATCCCTAAAGTCTCCCAGCCCCACATCACGCAACAGCCTTTTGCTGCATACGTATAAGGCGGACCGTGGTGTCCATTAGAAACCGGGCTACGGTTTGCTACGAGTAGCGGTAAGATACAGATTGTATGTGAGTTACAGTTAAATGGCTACATATTACAAACAAAAAAAAATCACCAACAAGACAGCGACCAGGAAGATGTAGCGCACTTAGAGGGCGGAGACATAGTTGCAAACTGCCTGTTTGGATCTAATTCCGCCCCCGACGGTATTTTTAACGTAGTAACTAAGAATATTTGCGGGGATATGCAAAATACCCCTTCCAAAAACGTTTCTTTTAAGTCACTGCCAATAAATGTATCGATCATACATCGCTAAATATAGAGCCAGGCTGTAGGTGCAATAACTCTGTGCTGACGCTGCTATCAACAAATTGAATTATACTATACTGTAAATGTTTATTCTTCCAGAAACGCACAGTTTTCAGCAGTCCTGTTTTTCTTAGTACTTTCATTATAGTGCCCTAAGAAGGACGATAACCTGTTAAATTGTTTTGTCTTGCACTTTGTTTTCATCAGTTGCACTTCCTCTACAAGATAAATCAATGTTTATACAACAAACGGAAACATCCAGATGACTATAGCGCAAATAATGTATCCTTCCTTTCTTTATTAAAACAAATTCGTCCCATTGATACATTGATATATCTTCACATACATCCGTATGGTTTTATTTATAAAACGTTTAAGTAATCCATAATGCACAATGAAAATGTGTAGGTGTGTGTTAAATCCGTTTTTTGTTCTTGGTCTTTTAAAGTTAACCCTTGAGCAATGCATTTCAGTAGGTAGCTGCCTCGCGAGACCATTGGCATTGTGAAGACATCAAATACATATGCAGTACAGGTGAAACATTTGCCCGGTGTCTCTGGAGCAGTTGGAATTAAAAACCTTTCCATGTAGCAGCAGCAACAGCAAACAAGTATATCTCATTTCAGCCTTGCAGTGAATTGCAGCTGACGGATCTGCAGCAACCGCATAATGCTATCATGGTAACATGGACCGAAGTCTCTGAGGAATGTTTCAAGCACTTTCTTTTGAGAACATCAGCCAGTCTCTGGGGGGTGATTGTGGGTTAGGGTCCTTACTCAAAGGCCCAATGGTGACATCACTCTGCCGAGTCTGGGATTGGAACCAGCAACTTTCAGATCAAAGGCACAGCACCCGAACTCGCTGAGTCTCACACCTCGTTGGATTAGGACCCCTTCAGAAGCAGCATCTGAGCACATTCCCTGCAGAGATGGGCCACTCTTCAATTTTACAGTCTTAGAAAAAAAAATTAGATAACTGTCAGGAAAAAAAGAAAGGCACCGCCTCACCCTGTCATTGTTCCGGGCCGATCTGGCTTTTGGTTGAACAGCTTTAACCCATAACTGTGCTGAAACGTGTGTGATTTTTAAAGAATAACAATGGTTATGTGACATTTGTACCAGGCACTATGTTAGTCTGTCACAGACAGGAGAGCTGTCATCCTGGAAGACTCTGTGTCACCTAGCCTGTCAGTCCTAAGCCGTTCATTTTTTCAGCTTCCTTTGTTGAGTCTCCAACCATGAACTTTTTTTGCTGTTTTTTTTTTTTTGAGCTATACATGAATTGCCATTAATAATGGTCCTTGAACTTCACATCACACAAGTAATAAGATCAAGATATTAACAACTAATTAACTAATAGTGATTCTAAATACAGGTCCCTTCTTGCAATAAGTTTAAACATCATAGAGTATCTCCCTGTGTTTGATCTGGATACTTTGAGGTTACACCTTATTCTTTAAGCACTTGAGTGGCCAATGAATAAAAACACAAGTAATGGTTTGAAGAACGACATCATATAAATGCAAACCATTGGGTTGAATAACTGTTCCATCATCTCCCCCTAGTGGTAAAACATTGCCTCACACCCAGGTTTATTTTAAAAGCGTAACAGTGAACTAAATCCATCCATCCATTTTCTGAAACCGCTTAACTTATTAAGGGTCGTGAGGGGTCTGGAGCCTATCCTGGAGGTTAAGGGCGCAAGGCACGGAACAACCTGTACCTGGATGGGGCGCCAACCCATCGCAGGGCCCACTCACCAACCATTCACTCACACACGCACACCTACGGGCAGTTTGGTAACTCCAATTAGCCTTAGCAAGTTTTTGGACTTTTGGGTGGGGGAAAACTGGAGTGCCAGGAGAAAAAACCCCGATGATACGAGGAGAACATGCAAACTCCACACACATGGAAACCTGGCGGAGACTTGCACCCAGAACCCAGAGGGGTGGGGCGACGGTGCGAACCATTGCATTACTGTGCCGCCTCCAGTGCACTATAATATAAATGTATTAATCTGACGCTTTTATCTTTAGCGAGTCAGCATTGTTGAGTATTCGAATATTTTTGAATGTGTATAAAATTTTAAATAATAAATGCTTTTGTAAAGGACCGCAATTGTCCTTGAATGTTTTGTCATTTTGTTTTGGTAAAGCAATATATAAATATGTCTAATTTATTTTCTAATTTATTCACAAATATTTTTTATTTTTGTATGTGCTTTAGTACGGAGCCCCTAAGGTGACAAAGGAGCAGGAAAAAAAACGGCAGAAGAGAGAAAAAAGAAGTCATGTTTTACGTTATAACCCAAAACCGTTGCGTTATAACCCAAAACCTTTGCGTTATAACCCAAAACTTTTGCATTATAACTCAAAACTTTTGCGACATAAGACAAAAATGTTGTGACTTGGAACTGGAAATATGAGTAGTCATGCAGTGTAAAGAACATAATGGATAGGAAAACATATAGCGTTTAATCGAATTTTACTTTGATCTTGGTCTACAATACAGTGGTATGAAAAAGTTTGGGCACCCCTGATCATCTTCATGCTTTTCCTTTATGAATCACTGGTTGTTTGGATCAGCAATTTCAGTTAAAAATATCATATAGCAGACAAACACAGTGATATTTGAGAAGTGAAATGAAGTTTATAGGATTTACAGAAAGTGTGCAATAATAATTTAAACAAAATTAGGCAGGTGCATAAATTTGGGCACCCTTGTCATTTCATTGATTTGAATACCTTTAGCAATTATTGGAACACAAAATTATCATGGGTGCCCAAACTTTTTCATACCACTGTATATGAACATTCAGTTTGTTCTCGGATCTAGGCATGATGTTCACATAAGTCTGATGCAGATTAAGAGAATTTTATGTGAAAGGGGATTATTCCAACGGGAAAACTACTCCGACTTCGGTGATGTAATTAACTTTATTCGCGAGCAGCTTTTTCACTCTGGGCAGCTTCATGGTTATCGATGGATGTATGCAAAATGCAGAATAAATGGACTTGATGTGAGAAAAGAGGATGTGCGTTTGATTTATATTAATTATATTAATTTATTATTAACATGAAACAACAACAAAAAACGAACAATTCTTTAGGCTTAAATCAACCTCAACAGATAAGCATTAATTAGCAATGTTACTGAAACTTTACCAAGGCTTGCTGTACAAATTACTAATTATGAATTAAACAATCAAATCTAACCACACTGAACTCTAAAGTTTTATAACCGTTAAATTAGATTAATAAGCGAAGCGGGGATCAACCACATAATGCGAACAGCGGCTTTGGAAGTTGCACTTGAATGACCAAAAGTACGCTAGTCACCTGATTTTATTGTTGCATTACTACAGAAAAGTTTTGAGTTATATCGCAAAAGTTTTGGGTTATAACGCAAAGGTTTTGGGTTATAACGCAAAGGTTTTGGGTTATATCGCAAAAGTTTTGGGCTATATCGCAAAACATGACATTTTTTTTCCTGCCGTTTTTTTTTCTGCTCCTTTGTCACCTTAGGGGCTCCGTAGTCACCTTAGGGGCTCCGTACTTTAGTGTGGTTTGTGTGTGAATTTGTGAATGAATTTTGAGTGTACCTGTGCTATTGAATTTTGTCCTGTGGGTGACACCGTAGTTTGCACAAGGGGGAGGTCTTTTTAAAAGGTAGCCTGCAGGTGTAAATGAGGGAAGTTGCTTTGTTTGTGCCTAAACCGCATGAGTTTTATCTTCAATTTCTTGTACTTCATTTACATAACTAAAGTAAACTTTGACGTCTGTTTTAATGACAGAAGAAAGGATTATCCTATCATACATTTTGCGTTCCTTGGTGAGCGCAGCGAGGTACGTTTGTTTAGTCATCATTTGTAATTCGTATCTATGTATGTATGAGACGTATGGTTATTTATATGAATGTTTGTGTTTTATTATCTATTCACAAATGAAGTCTGTATCCGCGGGAACTGGATTGTTAAATGTTTGTTTGTATATCCTGATATAGTTTTCACGGACGAGACAGATGAGATAAAGTTGATGCTGCTATAAAATAAAAGGAAAACTTAAGCATCTGTCGAGACTCTCTTTGGGCTGCTACAGCTTTATAAAAGTTTTTAAAATGTTATCCACAGCAATATATTCAGTTGTGATTTATCCGTTGTCTAATAAGCTTGCTGTTTGTTCCTTCAGAAGTTTACCTCCGCTGTTTTTGTTCTATATGCGCTCTCAGAGCCAATCATGATCATTTTCTGCCTCGTCAACTCACAGTGTGGTGCGTTTGTGAGAAAGATAAAAAAACGAGTGAATCGAACAAGGGTACAAGAACTGATCGTCAGGAGACATTCGTCTGTCACTGTATGGAAATACTTTGTATTCCGAAGAAACGATATTGACACAACACATGGCAACAAGTGCACGAGAATCTGATTATACTGCTAATTTTTATGGATATTTAGGTTGTCTTGGTTTTCATTAAAATGTTCTTGAGACTCATTCTTGGTAAAAATTTTAAATAAGACTGAATTGTCTGTGTATTAGTAGAGAGTTCTAGACACCTGGTGGGGGCAGTTCAGATGTCTGAAAGCTTCATCACCTGTATCTGCACAGAATGAGAGTTACTGTTCCAAATACTCCACTACTACTGCTCCTCACTAGCTGAACGCTCAGTGGACACGAGCCTAGCTAAACCAGTGTGCCTGCCACCTTACCACACTTCTTCAGAGAAAAGGAGGATAATTGAAGAACAGGTTTCTAACTGAGCCTGCTAATGGACCATGTACATTGCTTTCCACAGGTCGAAGCTAGAAAGCACTGAGCCACGCTTTTGTGTGGACTACAGAAAAGTGAGCTAGGCCACAGTAAAGGATTCATACCCTCTTCCTAGGGTGGACGAGTCACAGGA